CAATACCCCTTATTTACGGAATATACCTTCAATCCTAATATTTTGGTCCCTATAATATAAGGCATATTCCGTAATTAAGGTGTATTGGGTTCTCTGGGATCACCTCAATGCTTCCGATGATGGTAGTCAGTCTTCAGCGATATGCACATGCAAGTCAGCATGCAGAGTAGCAGTCGTAGTAAGCCTCGGCGTGGTAGTTGCTGTGATCATACTGCACCTAGCATGAGAGCAACAAGCATGAGAAGTAAGGAACGCCCTCTTCCGATACTAACTAACAAACCGCATTCAGCCAGCAAGTGATCATCATAAGCCCCTATCTTTATACCCTAAACTTGCATGTTGGCTCCCCATTGCTCACCACACTGGATGCTCATTTGTGGTTGGTGTTTACCAAGCAGGGCGGGACTATTTGTGACAGTGTCGGCTTCACCGCATTGTACAGCTTCCCATAGTGCCTTGGAAGTTTATTCAGGGTGTTTGTGGGGCCAACCTAAAGTCGCACGTGTCGAGAGGATCCATGCCGTAGGCTTGCGGCATGCGTGCGACCAGAGAGTAGACTTCGAATGCTGGCCTTGGGTGCGCCATGAGCTATTGACGCTCGTTGGGTTCATGGTCTATCTAGGGAATGCCGATGCATGGCCTCGCGATAGGTATCATTTCGTGATGCTCTGTGACAGCCTTTTGATTGTCTCTAACCGGGAGTCGGAGTAGAGAGGGTATCTGAAAAGGCACAGTTGGATTTTTCCCGTATCCTAGACTGTTTGTTGTTGCTTGTTTGTCTGAGGTCATGGGCAGCATAATTAGAGATGTCTGGAGAGTAGTACAGGGTCCTGAATACTTTCTATACAAGTATCCCTTCAAGGCCCTGCAATCAACGACCCCACAGTTCTAAAAGAATCATTAAGGCCACTGTGCGACCAGATTCGTGTTCTCTCGGAGTTGGCTGCGAAAGACATAGTCGGCATTTCTAGTGTATCTGCGAAAGGTTTAAGACATCAGGTTGAGGGTTTTGCTACCTGCAACTGATGGATGCATTGCGGCTGTATTTCTGCAGGCACCCAGTCGCCTTCCCCATCGATCTCCTCAACCATGTTCCAGGTAATATAGGGGCCATAATAAGTTTTGGGGCTTCTTTATTCTAAATATGGTACAACATACCCCCAAACCCTATTCTAATTATTCCGGCCCCTATATTCGATTATGCAGGCTTAACTCGGTGATCTGACCGTGGACACTATACTCCAGAACCCTAGATGCGATACACTTGTAGATCGGAGAGGGATCAAAAAACGAATTTAGGAAGGATCAACAAAAATTAGGAAGGATAAGGTACAAATTTAGGCAGGATCAAAAACAGATTTACGACTCACGAAGATATTTACAGATTTGTATTGGCTTGGTGGCTCGGTGTGCTTGGACTTTTGGCTTCGCGGCTTCCCGGCTTGCTGGCTTCTTGGCTTCCTGGCGTCTCGGCTTCTCGACTTCTCGACTTCTCGGCTTCTTGGCTTCTCGACTTCTCAGCTTCGTGGCTTCTTGGCTTCCCGCCTTCTTGGCTTCTCGGCTTGTCGGCTTCGTGGCTTCTTGTCTTCCGGGCTTCTGGGTTTCTCGGCTTCCTGGCTTCGTGGCTGCCCGCCTTGTTGGCATCGTGGCTTGTTCGCTTCGTGGCTTTATATTTACTCTCAAAGCCATTCTGCCCTATGACTATATTGACTAGCATTCGTAGTAGCATCAGCATCAGTATTATCAGTACTGGCTCGATTATTGTTAGTATAACTTTCGATACAGGAACTACTAGAATCAAATAATTCAGCAAACAAATAACAAGTCAGATGCTTCTCTTACACACACAGAGGCCCACACATACATATGCATATCTATATATATATATACCTGTATACACAAACACCTACATACATACATATATATATATATATGTATCACTGCACCATGGACGCATCCGTTTGTGTATTTCCAGACACGACTTATGCAAATGCAAATAATTACGTATGATATATATATATATATATGGATACTATGTAAATATATATATATATATATGTATATGTGTGTTTGTGTGTGTGTATATATATATATATAAAATTTCATACATAACTACATAGGTAAATGAATAAACACATGGTTTTTGTCTGCTGCTTTTTCCACATTTTTGCTTGTCCGCATTAACTGTAACCATGACGATGATTACTGTTACAATCCGAATTATCTGTTTTTTTGGTTCTGGTGTGTTTGTTTGTTTACTTGTTGTTGCAAGTACAAAGACACGTGGAGCGAGAGAGCACAATCGGGACAGCAGGAAAGAAAGAACAACAGAAAATCAACACATACATAAAGGTATAATCACGACAGAGAGACACCAGGCAAGATCGATGTCGCACGCTTGCATCCTGCAACGACCGGGGCATGTTTAAGATATATGAGATACTGGGATTTCGGAATCTCCAAATGGGGGGGCATGTTCAATATGTATGAGGAACAGGAATCGCCAAACAAACGGGTGTGCTTCAGATATATGATGAACCGGTATCGCCAAATGAGGGGGCGTGTTTAAGCTATGCTGAACCGTTGTCGCCAAACGTGGGGGCATGTTTAAGATATATGATGTACCGTTATCGCCAACTGAGGGGGGGTGTTTAAGATATGATGAACCGTTGTCGTCAAATGAGGGGGCGTGTTTAAGATATGTGATGACGAACCGTTATCGCCAAATGAGGGGGCGTGTGCAATATATATATATATAGAATTATATGATGATGAACCGGAATCACCAAATAAGGGGGCGGCATGTTTAAGATATCTGATGAACTGTTATCGCCAAATGAGGGGGCGTGTTTAACATGTATGATGAGCCGATATCGCCAAATGAGGAGGCGTGTGTAAGATATATGATGAACCGTTTTCGCCAAATGAGGGGGCGTGTTTAGGGTATATGATGAACCGGAGTCGCCGAATGAGGGGGCGAGTGTAACACATATAGTCGTTAAGCGAGGGCGGGTGTTCAAGATGCGATGAACCGCCAGTCCCCTTCCTTGGCATTCCGTTAGCAAATTGGGGGAAGGGGTGGCTGCACCCACCCCAAACCCCCCAACCCCCCTGCTTTCTAAGGCCTGTGAACGTGATTTAGTGAACGTCGTACCGTCAAGAACGCTATTTCACCATTTGCGATTTCAAGTCCAGCACATAACTCGTGTTAAACCTTGCAAAGCCCGTTCTAGAGGCCCAACTCATCCGCTTTCTTTTTTGACCGTGCAAGCTTGCTTTAATTTAAAACAACATCGTGCAATGAAGAGCGTAAAGCCACAAAACCCACAGAAGGCAACCGGGTAGACTGGCGGGGCCGGCGGTCGGCCCGTCGGATTTACAGACTGAGTGACCGATCGAGAGCCGAAGAGACCATCATCGAAATTCAGCCAAAAAGACCTCGAATACAGCCTCAGTTGTCGCCATCCCTGTGATTCTTGCAAGGTTTGTATATGGATCGAACTGAAACCCTCAAAACAAGCCAGAAGAGCAAACACAATACAAAAAAACTGGACCTGTTGAGTTCCGGATCATGTCCAACTTGCTTCCCGCCGCGTGCTGGTGCTATTCCTGGATCTAAAAGCAGTGCTCCACAAGTTGGGGGTTTGCAATGAAGCCGGCTCTCGCGGACACGGTTTCGCAGGGATCATTTTTACTAGCATTGTTAGGGCAGGCCTGATCCGTGCGAAACCTTTTCTAGACAAGTGGGATATGCTGAAGAAGCCAGTGTTCCTGCTGAGTGCTTCGCAGGAAGAAGTGGACGAACTGTGGCTTCAGACACAGGCATGCTATGAGCTTGCCCTCAACTACGCCTGCAGGAGCGTTTCGCAGGAAGTGCACAATGAGGACGCCGGCAAGTTTTATGGTTTGTCCAAGGGCCATGTTCGTTTTCAAAAGGGGTACCCTAGGGTAGGAAAAAGCAACAGCCATGCTGATGCTTTCTTGGTTCGCAGATTGAGAAACGTTGTTGGCAGACTTACTGAAATGCGTAGGTTAGAACGCGTGCACCAGGAGTCTTCTCAAGAATACACAAATCTTGCTGTAAAAGCCCTGCGTGCTCCCGGTAGCCTCATGGGAGATACACAGCAAAAGCTTGATCAGGCGACTGCGCTCCTGCAGGACCTTCGCAAGAGCCAGCTTGAAACCCGCTGTAGCGATTGGAGGGATAAGATGAAAGCATCTCAGTCTGCATGCTATCGTTGGCTGCGTACGCAGGCGGCTCAGCCATGCAAAAGTCTCTTTTCCCCGGCCTCGGATGTGAAAGACGCCACAGGCACAACGCAGGTTTCTCTAAGATTCATCAGGGATTTTTGGCGTAAGGTGTGGCACCGTAAATTGCCGCCATCAGCCCCTCTTCGGGCCGCGGCAGTGGCAGCGATTACCCGGGCATGCAGTCGCTTCGGCGGCTAGGAAGCAGAGAGGCAAGGCGGCTAGTGCTGACGGTTGGTCTGGAAACGAGATTTCTTGTATACCACCGCGCGCATTTTCGCTTATTGCTTCTTTCATGCAACTTCTTGAGAGGGTTGGCAAGTGTCCGAATCAATGGAAAACTTTGCGGCAAATTCATTTGCCCAAACCGAAGAAAAAACGCGATGCTGATGGTGCAAGAGATGTGGCCAGTCTGCGGCCTATCTCGATTTCTAGCACGTGGTACAGGGTGTGGGCTACCAGCCGCTTGCAGTCTAGTCAGGCCCAGCACTGGCTGAGTACTTGGTTTCCGCCACAGGCTTGTGGAGGATGCAAAGGCAGGTCTCTGCAAGATGCTTTGGTCCCACTTCTTCGTGGTGCGGATAAGGGAAAATTTCTTGTGTCACTTGATTTCTCCCAAGCTTTTGACATGCGCAAACCTGATGATGCTGTTTGGCTTTTTCAGAGGCTTGGCCTGCCACAAGGTGTTGCCGGCATAGTGCTGTCTGCCTGGACTGAACAGCGCAGTTATCTTGAGTACCAAAACTGCGTTTTAGATACTCCGGAGAGCGTTACGGCTTCATTTCCTCAGGGAGACCCCTGGTCGATGTTCGGCCTTGTTGCGCTCCTCACCCCTCCGACCCGTGACATCCAAAGCAAGTTCCCCCGAACCTTGCTCAGGACCTACGTCGACGACCGCAGTTGGGCGCCAGACAGGTGCTACGAGGCGCTGGCAGTCGAATCGGAGTGGGCCGCCTGGTCCAGATTGCTGGGTCTCAAAGAGAACTTGGAAAAAGCACAATAGTACCACCACTCGGCTAAGGGTCGTAGGGAGTTTCTTGATGCTAGTACAATCCAGGATAGGGTTACGGATCAGCCTTGTGTTGTTGGTTGTCACCTCCAAGGTTTAGTCAGACGCTCGTGTAACGACAAGGAAAAGGAGAGATTGCAAACTGCGGCGAATCGCATTCGAAAACTCTCCAGGTTGCCGGTTCCTAAAGATGCTAAACAGGCCTTGGCTGCTTCGGCCGACCTGTCTAAGGCTGAGCATGGCTGGTACCACAAGCTTCCTGCACAATCCAACTTCCGGATAGTTGAAGCTGCTGCAGTTGACCAGCTTTGTGCATGCTTCTCCGCACTTGAGCAAAATCTTTCGCAATCACAGACTCGATGCTCAATCCAGAGTGTTGCAGAATCTTGTGAATGGTTCCCTGCGTCACATGAAACAAAGTGGCGACGCTACCCCTGGTGAGTGGTCTCATTATCATGGAACCAGTGCTGGCATACACAGGCTTCTGCTCAAGCAAGGCTGGGAGCTCGTGGGTCCTTGGAAACACACGGTCACTGATTCGGAACTCAGTTTGAAGAGCCAAGACGGGCCGGATCTTCAAACGGCTCTTCATGACATCAGAGAAGGATGGCGCGCTCATCTCTTTAGCAGCTGGTCGCGCACTTCCAGGAACGACGCTGTGCAGTGCGCAGGCGTAAGCGCACCAGCTTCTTGTCAGGCGCTTTCTTCTCTCATGCTGCCCTGGCTTCGGCAAGAGGACAGGACGGTACATGTCAGTACTGCCGCCATGCTGTGGCGACTACTGACCATCTTCTGTGGTTCTGCGGAAGCTTTCCAGGTACGAGGCCCTGCGGCAGGCCCAAAGATGAGTTGCAAGCCAGATTGGCATGGCCAGCAGGCCATTCCAATGATGAAGCCATCATGCAGTGGGCCGTTCATGTTCGGTCTCAAACGCTGAGCGACAGGTATGATGCTACTTGATAAATTTCTTGTTTTGGCATGCATTTTTACTTTTAGCAGGTGGGCTATGCTTGAGTGAATGATGCACTCTTGTCAGAGACTGTGTGTAGGGCTGCGAAGCTCTTCAGAACTTGTGTTGTCTGTGCAGACTTCACGTTCCGGGCATGACTTTGCCGTGCATAGGGTTTAGCTCCTGCCTTTCCCTCCGTTTGGGTTTAGGACCTTGCCCCGCTGCCTTGAGAACTGATCCCTCTTTCCCCTCCGAATGGATGAGGGTGTGCGTACTTGCGTCAAGTGGGCGGCCTTGGCCGCCCCTTTCTGCGGCGATGTCTTCGGTGTCTTCAAGACTATCAGGGGCCATCGTCGTCTACAAGATCAACGGTTTCGCGCGGATCCGTTCGAGAAAGCAGGCATCAACGTGCCACAGTGGCGGTGGCATTCCTGGCAACCAACGCTGTTTCTGCGCACGCAGCCATGGCCATCAACTTTCTACACAAAACGTCAGAACCTTCGCTGTACCACGTTTATCCTGGCTTTTGACACCATATTTCGCACAATTCCGACCCGGAACTATTGAAATCGCACTTACAGATTCATCTTCTGATTTGTTTTTTTGATCCTTCCATTTTTTTGATCGCTCTTCCCAGGAACCGTGCAGGTGTTTGCAGCAGATCCCAAACCCTTCCTAATTTTCTTTTGATCCGTTGGGCTTAAATTTGTTTGTGATCCTTCCTAAATGTTTTTGATCCTCCATCCATTCCAGAGCCCTGAATCCGAGACCATTGAGGGTTTAGGGTTTAGGGGTTCAGGGTTCAGGGATTCCAAACCGTGTAAACCCGAGGAATGTGGCCGGCCTCGTTTCCCGTCAGTCAATAATTTGTTGTCTTTCGCACATGGAGGCAGTGTTGCAACGTGGTATGACGACATACAGCTTGAGGGTTTAGATTCCGGCCCAAGCTCTAAACCCAGGTTGAGGGTTTCGAATTAAAACTTGAGTCGCAACGCCAGCAGAACCATGACCAGTGCTGTTCTAATATAGAGGCTTAAAAATTACGTAGATTATTACTTAGGGGTTTGGGGTTTAGGGGTCCTAGGGTTTAGGGTTTAGGGCTTATGATTTTACCCCAAGACCCTCTTCCAATTATTCAGGCTCCTACCGTAGGGTTTAGGATGTAGCTTCACTTGTCAACCTCCCCCGAGCCCCAATCCCATGTGCGTGTCTCGTCCCGCGAGCAGCCTTGTCGATAAGCGTTTCTCGGCGCGTGCATACGAAGCTACTCTCTTTCAATGTTTCGAGGGGACAAGATAGTTACCAAAAGGCAAGAGGCTTGTGGAAAACTGATCGCGGTACTCAAGTCTAACTGGTGTCGAGTTATGCAAATGCTGGACACCAAGGTGAGCATACCGCAGACCCGCGCCGCGTCATGTTTGGGTGTGCGTCGAAAGAAAAAAGATGGCTACCTTCATTCATGTGACATTAAAACGACAATCATCGGAATGAGCAGCACAGACAAAAAGACGTCCAATTGCGAACTACCCTAAACCCTAGTTAAACCCTAGACTGAGCCTGCTACGCTCGTCGTATTGCCACCGAACGGCAGTCCCTGTCGTGGCTAATACTATTGGGTGTGCCAGTGCCAAACGTCAGTTCAGCTTCCACGCCATCAATGCACGGTGCTGCACTGACTGTAGTGAGTTGAGATGATGCTCAGCGATCTGCCAGACACCCTGTCAGCATGCACCTCGAACGACTTTCGCCGCAAGAAACGGCATGCGCGATAACAATTTGCGCAACACGTGCGAAACAGAACACCCTGCAGGCATCACGTTCTGAGGGTTTGTGTGCATGACCGGGTATTCGATGCAACTGCTGCCTCAGGTCAATGTCGACGGTGTGGTGCTTGTGCTATCTGTTTTATATAATGTTCACATACTTCGCTGTCCTTAATGCACCTCGGCTGGCAATGAGATCCTTGAGCTGCTTCTGCTGCTTCATTCTATGTTTGAATCCACATTCTTGCTCAACCAAAACACATAGGTGCAGTCGCATGCAGGGTTGCACAAGCAAACCAACATGATGTTTTTTTTTTGTGGTGACAGACCCTTTTCCGGCGCAGTACATGATCAACATCGTCCGCTCTCCCACGTTCCAGCGGAAGTTCCGCCGAATGGCAGCGTACCTGTGCATGTGTGCAGTACTGTTCCTGTCGTTTGGTAGCGACAGCACAGGTAATTACCGGGGTGTTCTGCCAGAGCGCCATCGCCGCTAAACTGCAATAACATCGGAAACCATTGTTTCATTTCCATGATACAGGCTGTTTGCAATGTGTCAGAAAGAGCAAGATGTGTGCAGTCATGGTTGTCGGTACGCGTATAATGTAGGGGCCTTAATAATTAGAATAGTGTTTTTGGGTAATTTTGATAAGAAACCCCCGAAATAGTATAGGTAATTATTTAGTCCCCTATATTACGCGTTTTTCGACGTTTGACATGCCTCTGACTTGCAAAAAAGCCAGCCATCAGGGCACCGTTATTTTCACTTAAGCCCGAGGGTTCGAAGCAACATGCTAGGGTTTAGGGTTTGGGGCTTGGGGTTAAGGGTTCTGGTGACAGCCCCAACAGTGTTTTCGTCTTGCTTCACGGCTTGCTTGCATGCCCATTGCTGATCGTTAACGGAAAGTGTCTGCAGTTTCTCCGGCCTAAGGTTTGTTCGAAGCCAGTTAGATGTATTTCAACGTTCAGATTTGTCTGTGCCTCTGAGGAAAGCGCCCAGAATGATCATTCTATGGTGGTTCAAGCACTCATGGACAACAAGGCATCCTGGGAGCGATACTGAGGGACATTCTCAACATGTGCGTTGGGATGTTCAACTCATCCACTTCGGAGTCGCGCGATGTGTGGTGAGCCAGGCTGCGCACATTCAGAAGCTGCGCGACTTGTTCTACCACTTGAACCACAGCAACAATGACGAGGATGCATGGGATTCGGTTGTTCCACTGCATAATTAAGCAGTTAAGCGCAACTCGGCGTGCCTATGTCCTCCCCCTCCACCTTCTCGTCGTACTACCTCATCCTGCTATTTCTAGTACTACCACTACTACTACTACTACTACTACTACTACTACCACTACCACTACTACTACTACTACTACTACTACTACTATTACTACTACTACTACTACTACTACTACTACTGCTATTACTACTACTACTGCATCA